AATCAGGAACCAAAGCAAGAGAAAACTTTTGCCCTTTTCTTTTTCTAACCATCTCCTACAGCCTCAGATAAAGAACATACAATTTGCTGCTAATCTCACCATCTTACCAGGGTAAGGTAGCCCTGAATGCAAGGGTCTCCAATGACAAGAGCACGTTTCCTACTAAAAGTAACTGCTTTTTATCTATTTCCTCTGTGAATCTAAAAATAGTTAACACTTTTTGAAATCTTTCTATGTCCCAGAAACACTTATAGACTTTAATGCTCTTCAACAATCTGTTCTCCCCATTTTACACACGGGGGGAAATGAGACATAGAGAATTCAAGAAAACTGCCCATAATCATATAGGCTGCAAGCGATTTGCAAAGACTGCTCCAAATACCATGCTCTAGGTCCTTTTCATTAAGTTGCTCACAAATATAGCATCAATCTAAGAAACGGTCAACTCCCTCATTCTAGTATCATCACTTTTCACACTGAAAAGAGCCCCTAATTCCTGGAAGCCCATTCATTGCCTATGTGTAGTGCAAGAAAAAAAGAAAAACCTCTTACATCCGGTCTTTCAACCAGTTCTCAGGCGTCATCTCAGAGTAGGCTCACAGCACCCGCTACACCTTCAGAATGGGTAATGGAAGGAACAAACTACCCTATGTTACGTGAGAGGCCCCCCTCAGATCTAAAAAGGTACTTATTACATCAACCACACCACTGGGTAGGTTACAAAACCCATCACACCACACCAAAGTTTCCAGTTAGGACCAACGACAGACAAAATAAATGTTGAAGCAAAATAATAACAAAGTTCCTAAAGCAGTTCTTGGTCTGTAATGAACAGCCAAGAGCCTGAGCAGCCCTGGGTTAAATCTCTGCTCTCCCTGTTCCTGCCACCGGCCCACAAGCTCTCTAGCCACCTGAGGAAGACTCATGCAGCCTCCATGGAAGGTCACCCTTTCCACTTCTGCTCGTCATTAAGGTTTACACATTCTGAAAGTCCTCAAAATGTTCTCTCCTCTTAAACACCCTCTTCCTTTACTCCACACTCTCACCAGCTTATAATCAGAAAAGGAGTCTCCCACGAAATGTCACTTCCTTTCACTGGATACTAAGGAATCTTTTGGTCCATTTCAGTTGAAAGTTTGAAGAGAACTATATTAAAAGGTGAATGGCGGCCCTCCCTGGTGGCGCAGCGGGTTAAAGCACAGCACTAAGAAGCTTAAGCCACTTCCACATGAGTTCAATCCCCACCTGCCCCTGAGGATTCCACATGGCGTGGCAGACCTCTCCTGACCCGCCTGCTGCTCCCCTCAGCAGTGTACTTCGTCGATCTGCCTGTTCTGCACCCCACTCTGTCTCTGGTGAATCCTCTCACCCTCCGCATCTCTGGCCTGTACCCCAGTTCTGTATGAATAAATAAATAAATTTTAAAAAAAAAAAAAAGGTGAATGGCAAATAGCTTGTTCTCGAAAATCTGTACAGCACCACGTAGGTGGGGATTGCTGGCCCCCTGCCAGAATTTCAGCCAGTATAGGATGATCCACTACTCAGTCTCCTGTTCACTGGCATAGGGCTGGTCTTTAGAAGAGAAAAACTCAAGAAGCCTTTGTGGAAACTTAGTCACTTCTCTGTGGGTGAGGAAGTAAAAGGAGGTGGGGAATGAAATGAATAGGAAACCACTCAAAAGACCACTCAAAATAACCCTACATGCATAACTGAAAGGGGCGAAATGTGGGTGCTATTTGTAAGCCTTCCCTGCAGTTGGACACAGTCAAAAGGAGACAACATTCTCTCCTTTCCCATTTCTGCTTCCTCACTAAACTGAAGATTTTGATTGCCCCAGCTCCAAAAGACAAAAATAGTAAGAGCTTTTTCCTTAGGCTGATATTCCCAATCCTTCTAAATTTGACCTACTTATCTCAAAATTTAAAAATTCCCTAGGTTTCACTTGGGTCAACAGAGTACACTAACTCCCATGGGAAAACATACTTGAGGTGGTAATAACATGTTTATCTGAGGAAAAGTCAGACTATGAATAAAGTCAAAACCATTGTTCTCAACTTGCCCCCGAAAATGCCAGCAACTTCACAAATATCTCCATTTCCTCACCTATCACAGTTTTTATTCAAGCAACTGAGCAAAAGGTAAGTGAATTGCATCTAGCCAATTTCATTGTTTTCTGTTTAATCAAAAAAGTATATATAATAGCTTTTGTTGCAATTCAAAGCTATTTTTGACTTAGAGCAGAGTCAAAGGGTTTTTGTGAAATGACTTAGCACCTAAACACACATAGTGCTATTTCATCACCAAAAACACTTGAACAGTTGACCAGCTTTTAAAACCAACATGTCTGGGGCCTCCCTGGTGGTGCAAGGGATTAAATTTCAGTACCATGAAAACATCACCAGCTATTGCAGCACCAAGTTAAATCCCAGCCAGGGATATAAGTCACAGCGGGCCTCTCCTGCCTCACTCCCTCCTCCCCTCAGCATTGTATTTCAGTACATCTGCCTGTTCCACTCCCCAATCTGTCTCTGGTGAATCCACTCGCCTCCAATCTGTCTCTGGTGAATCTCTTCGCCTCCTCACCACACACCTCTGGCCTATACTACAGTTCTTGTATGCATAAATAAATAAAAGGAAATCTTTATATCTAGACTATATCCCCTGCCTGTACTTTATAAAGAAGGCTTTGTACTGTGAATATCAAATGAGCACAAGTTAGGGGCCAGGAGACAGAGCTGCAGGAATGCCAGCTGAGTGTGTCTGAACTTAAAGTCACAAAGGGCTTTCAACACTAATTTATTCTTAAAGGAGGACTGTTTATCAGTTTAAATAATCTTAGATCACTGGAAAAACTATAAACGCACAGAAGGGAAATATACCTGTACAACAAGTTAATATCTTGAGTCATTCTGTAGTAAAATGGAGCATTCCCAATCACATTTAAGGCAACAGCATCTATAATATGTTGCCAAAGAATGGGGACCAGGGGCCAGATTGTGTTTGACTACTGAAGTCAGGAAAATCCCCTGCTGCTAGAATGGCTCTGACTGGCAGATATTTTCAAGAGAGGACAGCTGAGACCTGGGGTCATTTTAAGTCAATGGCTCAAGTGAGTTATTCTCCCCCTCCCATTCTCACTTTCTCCTCTCTTTTTTGCCAATTTCCCCAGCTACATCCCACCTGCTACCCCAAAATATGCTCAGGGCAGTGGTTTAAAGGTCCAGGAATCACCGTTAAAAAAAAAATGCACACTCTGATGCACGTCTTATTACATATGCTTGTGGTTATTTTTCTCCAAAGAACTTGCCGAATAAAAATCATGAATGACTTGAAACTGCTGTTATCTATTTCATTTGACTATTAAGGTAGCCAGGATCTCTAACTTAAGAAGGAGAAAAAGACAAAATGTCCCAGGATTCAATATGCGCCTTGTTTTGTCTTGATTTCTCTAACCAAAATTCATACCTAATTCGATTGATCAGGAGTTTCATTTGGTTATACTTTTCTATGAAATTAACTGCAAAGAGAATACTTTTTAATTGAAATAGGATAACCTGGATGCAAAGTTAAGCTATAACCTCTGAAATAGAACATGCTTACTTGGTTAACACACATAAACCATGTACAAATTTAGCAACAACTCATCATATTAGATATCGTGACCTTTGGCATTGGCATTTGTCAGTATCGTTCCAGATAGCCCTGGTAAAGATGGCAGAAGTAATCTAACCCTCTAAAGTCCACTTCTCAAATGGAGCTTCTGCTGAGGCTGCTGAAACAGCCTCAGCAGAAGCATCATCTTCTCACATTTACTTTTAAAGAACCAGACAATATTTTAAAAAGAAATGATGGGACATACATGAGCAATGGGTAAGGATGAGTTTCATCAGCAAATTTGTCAATTAATAAGTACAGAATACACATTTAAGAATAAAAAAGACTAACACAACTCATTTAATACTGTATCTCCTTCCTTAGGAAGGAGCACTTACAAGGAGGAGAGTGTGTATGTTTTTACTCAGCTAATCAATTTATTCAGCAAATTGATTCTTCTTGATATCTGCTTTTCAAGTGAGCTTTCTCATTTGGGGCATGGAACTCCAAACAATGAGTTTAATTCCACCTCCATGTAGCAAAAAGAAAGAGCAATAGTAGCACATGAAAACACATGGCTTAAAGGTTCTCACAAAAATGGGAGAATAAGTAGATCACACATAGCCAAACTACAAATAGCTTCCCAAATTCCATCAACTCCATCATGGCATGCGATAGCCATCACCCAGCTGGTATTGCAAAATGCCCTAATGACAGGGAAGCAAGGGAACCCAATATCAATCTAATTACTGAAGTAGCTACCAACAACTTGAGACTTAAAAAGAAAAAAGCATTCACCAAAAGCATTTCCTGGCACCAACTTGAACTATGGGAAGGCAAAGAGTGCAAAGCAAAAAAATGAGAATAAACTAGACACTTTAAATTATTTGGAAGCTTCCTAACAACCTCATTTTCATGTCTCTGTCCCATAAAAAATTCCACCCAGTATAAGTAATACTACATAAGAAACCAAGCCTTTAAAAAACAAAACTAAGATTCAAACTTTGGTCATTGTGTAGGCTCTTTCTTTTCCATTTCCTTTCTCAGTTGCCTGCCTTCTCCTAAGACAAACTTTTGGCAGAACATAGAAGGCATCCAGACACTTGGAAGAATGAGACAAAGAAAGGCTGAAAGAACAAATCTTGGCACTTCCAAAGGAAGCAGTCTTTTAAAACCAAAGAGCCAAAACAGAGGTTAAATAATGTAATGCTTTCTGATAAAGTTACTTTATAAAAAATGAGAAGCACATGGTTCTCAAGGATCATGGAGGCAGTATTCTAAATTTGTGTCTTTCAGATCAAGCTGAGACAGTAATTTCTAAACAAATCCATCAGCAGGTGCATGCCCCATATACATTTCTTTAACAAATCTAAATTTCTTATTAGAATCAATGTGCAATTACTTACTTGTTTCCTTCTGTAATGAGCAAACTGAGAGAGGCCGAGAACAGTTGCAAGAGCACCTCCTCCAACAAGAATAGATCCTTTCACTGCCTTTTGAAATGCCATTTTTTAGCCTACAAAGAAAAAAAAATTAATTGGGATTTTTTATTGGATAACAATCTAATAGTAAAAGGAGGCTGTGGAGGTTATGAAACAAACTAAAAAAGAAAACAAAGTTACTGGTATTCTACTTTGTCTACCACAATTCAAAAAACAACTTATTAAAACAAAAAGAAGAAAAGAAAAAACCCAGATAAGAGAACTGATTGTATAAAATTTAACTTCTGAAAGGATCTTTAAATGAAAAGCAAACTAGGAGAAAACTGAGGGTATTTAAACAATACAGTCAAAAAAAAAAGCTATGATTAAAAAATGTCATTGTGTATCTGACAAAACTACACCACGCTATACTAGCTGATTTGTTCCACCACTAAGCCCCTACACAAGGAGAGCTGGTAGAAGTCTCAGTCATCAACATGACAATGAATGCCTGCACAGGGGCTCTGGAAACAGTTTAATTCAAAGCTCTCTGCCCAAGTTTTCCCCTTCCTAATGAATTCTCACTAGAGTTGAAAGGCAACACACATTTCCTTCTCTCAAAGAGTCACACTTTACTGATAAAAAGTCAAAGCAAAGCATGTGTTGATCCCTTTAAAGTTAACAGACTTCATGCTGCTGATATTCCTTTCATTAAGAGAACTCTAAAATGTGTTCTAGCCACAGTTGTGTGACATCACAATTTCAAGGGGAAATCCTTCAGATCAAGCACTTTGATGTTCAGTGTATATGTCTAAAGAAAGCCTTGCATTGTGTTAGCGCTGACAATTTTTCTTCTCACTTGTTTTTTAAAAAATACCTCCACTGTCAGACTATGCAATTTTTAATATTTTTTGAAAACCTAAGTATTTTTCAGAAACCATAAAAAATTGCATAAAGTTGTATTTTCCACCCAAAAAACTTCTTGCCTGCTTTTATTCTGCTAAACAAAGAGATAACACAGCATGGTAACATAAAATTGCTGTTATTGAGCCACTTGATATGCCTAAGGAACTTCATATACGATAGCAGCGACACATCTTATCTTCCAGGGAAGCCACTGTCCATTTTCCCGAATGGATGGAGATGTGACCTGGCTGAACAACACCATTATACTCCACAGTTACCTCCTGACTCAAGACTTTAATATGAAGTCATTTTAACACAAGATACTAAAAAGTGTATTTTAACTTTTATTATGATACAGTTAAAGTGTTTCAGTCCACACTGGATGAACAGAATCCATTAGCAACACTCTCCTAAATCAAAGAATTTTGGATGACAACCATCATTGTACAGAGAATTCATTTTGGAAAACTCTAAATTATATATTAAAATATAGTTGGTATTTCTTAAATTTTTAATTGCCCTTTGATCTCATTCTTTCTAACAATTTCCTAAATTCTACGACTCATTTTTTCTGAAGGTTTCACCTAAAATATACTTAATTTTAGCATGTTTTCTGGAGCTGACAGCCTCCATTTTACTGTTCTTTTTCTAGATCAAACACTCCCTCTGTCCCCAGTCATTCATTTGGAGTGTGTTTGCTAGGGGGTCCCTACTCATTGTTCAGCTGACCCTAAGCAAAACCTATGTCCAAGTTTGCTTTGAGAGTAAAAACCACAACTTAGCCAACATGGAAGGCACCTATCTGTCAAAAGTTCACCATCACCATTAGTAGTGCTCCTTAAAAATTCACATGATGTTGATCACACAACAACGGAAACCTTCTCAGCCAAGACAGCATGCAGTCTCCAGGCTAGCTGGGATCCCCTAACAATTAGGTACAGAAAATTGAAACCTAGTTTATTTACCTAAACAATGCCTATGCCCGCCCCATATAGACAGCAGCCTGGTGGTCCGTTGGATATGTGCTGTCCCTGACTGACATTGGTTTACTATCATTACTTGTTGATAATGTCATTCATGACCTCACAAAGGATATCACACATCCACAGAGAAAAATGAGAGATGTTCTATAACACAGCAAGGAAATTGTTTCAGAGGTTTTCATTGTCAGGTCAGTTTGGTACTAGTTTTCCCAACTGCATAGGTTTCTGCATTCCTTGCTCTGCTTCAATATGATTGGTCTGTAACCAAAACTTACTAAGAAGGGGCCTATATCCGCAGATTTTCTGAATGAGCCACTAAACACTAGTGGGAAAAAATGTACTAATATATTCACTATTTTACAGTGTTAGCAATAATATTGACTATAATCAATAAATTTCTTTTATTAGAGAGTTTATAAAATAGTCTGTGCTTTAAGAGATCATTATTTTTCCTGTGTCAAATCCATCTTTAAACACCACCTAGCTAGTTTTAATGAATAAATCACTGTGACAGGTAATTCAAAAACTAAAGAATTAGTCAATTTTATCTTGCTCTCTTATGATGGTGATCATAGTGGTTACTATCATTATTATTAATGCTATAATGCTAGTAGTTGTCATGTATTGAGTATTCATTAGGTAATAGGTACTGTGCTTTTACTTTTCTGTATATTATATATCCGTTCATATCACCATTATAACATCCTAATTTCATGAAAGAAGCAGCTATTCAAAGAGTGGAGGAAAATTGCCCAAATCTTACCACTGGGTAGTTCTGTTCTCCCTTTACTTTTAGGGGCACACTGTATTTTGCTGTTGGTCTCCCCCACCCCTCCCCAAAAGGGCTCTATACTCAAACACTCAACCAAAGTGTACAGTCCCTAAGTGGTAGGGTTACCCTGAGGCAATAAAGATGCCACAGGTAACCTTTCGCCAGAGGATATAAAGATCTTTGTTTTAATGTTCAAATAAAGACATTTAAAAACCCATGAATATAAACCATATACTTTGGACTATTTGTACCCATTTATATTCCACTGTGAGGAAAGCAGTTTTCATAATGATTACCAAGAAGAAAAGACTGCCTTCCTCTATGTAAAAGCTGTAAGTGGGAAGTTAGCAAAGAACGGGAACAGAAATCTTTACACTTTGCAACTGAAAGACAGGGAAAGAGAAAAGCATCCAAAAATAAATTTATCTTATTGATCATAACCTCACATCCATGTTTAATAGACTGTGAGTTCAGTTACATATAAATTAAATCAGCACTGGCTCCTACATTAGCATGAACCTAGTCTAGCTCTCTCATTTTTACAAAAACACCTGCCTACCTTATGTTTAGCAAAACATTAAACAAGAAAAAGAAACCTACATTCAACATAGCTCTGAGTTTTTAATCAACTGCCTTCAAAGAATAACAACCTACTTTGAGAATTAAATATCACTGTCTCTCCAATAGCTCTGTCTTAAAACTAATTATGCTCTATTTAGTGATATAAATATGAGAGACCTAAGAACCTAAGTAGCCAAAACAGACTTGAGAGAAAAAAAAAAAAAACTGGAAGAATTTCAGTTTTCTTATTTCAAAATATACCATGACAAAGCATCATCATTAAAACTATATGATATTGCGTCGTCCATGGTGGCATATAACAGGTTAAAGTGCAATGTTATGAAGCTATCTGCAGCCACTGCAGCAGGAGTTCAATCCCCAGCCAGGAAGGTGACCCATGTGGTACAGCAGACCTCTCCTGTCCCACCCACTGCTCCCCTCAGCAGTGTATTTCAATGGATCCTCCTGTTCTATTCCTCACTCTGTCTCTGGTGAATTCTCTCATCTCTACCCCCACACCCCTGCACTTCTGGCCTGTATTCCAGCTCTTGTATGTATAAATAAATCTTTTTTAAAAACAAAACTGTATAGTTCTAGTATAAAGCTAAACACAGGGCCCTCCCTGGTGGCGCAGCAGGTTGAAGCACAGCATTAAGAAGCTAAAGCCGGCCCTCCCTGGTGGCGCAGCGGGTTAAAGCACAGCACTGAGAATCTGAAGCCACTTCCGTATGAGTTCGATTCCCGCCTGCCGCCTGCCCCGGAGGAGACCACATGGCGAGCCAGACCTCTCCTGACCCTCCCGCTGCTCCCCTCAGCAGTGTACTTCGTCGATCTGCCTGTTCTGCTCCCCACTCTGTCTGTGGTGAAGCCTCTCACCGCCCCTGAGCCTCTGGCCTGTACCCCAGTTCTGTATGCATAAATAAATCTTTAAAAAAAAAAAAAAAAAAAGAAGAAGCTAAAGCCACTTCAGCGTGAATTCGATCCGGCCCTGGAGGTGATCCCATCTGGCGCCGCAGACCTCTCCAGAACTGCCCGCTGCTCCCCATCAGCAGTGTACTTTGTCAGTCGGCCTGTTCTGCTCCCCACTCTGTCTCTGATGAATCTTCTCACCGCCCCTGTACCTCTGGCCTGTACCCCAGTTCTGTATGCATAAATAAATCTTTAAAAAAAAAACTAAACACAAAGAACAATGCAACATATTAGAGAGCTCATAAATAAGTCCACTCAAACATAAGCAAATTAATTTTTGGCAAAACTGCCAAGAATACCCAATCGGAAAAGGATAGTTTCTGCATTCACTGGTTTTGGGAAAATGAGTCAATCATATGCAAAAGAAAGTAAGTGGTTGTTATCAATACACATCATGCAAAAAAATCAATTCAAAATAGATAAGACCTGAAATGACAAAGTTTCTCCAATAAAACATAGGAGGTAAGCTCCCAGGTAGCAGTCTTAGCATTTATTTTGTGGATCTGATGCTAAAACAAAGGAAACAAAAGCAAAAATAAACAAGTAGGACTATGTCAAACTAAAGATTTTGCCACAGCAGAGAAAATCATAAATGAAGAAGTAACCTAGAGAATAACAGGAAATATTTGCAAATCTTACATCTGATAAGAGATTAATGTCCAAAATACATAAAGAATTCACATAACTCAATGCCAAAAGAAGTAGTCTGATTAAAAAATACCAAACTGGCCCTCCCTGGTGGTGCAGCAGGTTAAAGCAAGGTACAAAGAAGCTAAAGCCACTTCAGCATGAGTTCCATCCCCACCCTGAAGGGGATCCACATGGCCCAGCAGACCTCTCCTGACCCACCTGCTGCTCCCCTCAGCAGTGTGCTTCATTGATCTGCCTGTTCTGCTCCCCACTC